GTGCAAATCTGCCTTAGAGATAAGACCACCTTTAAATGCCCTTTTCCATTTTTTGGCATCAGTAAAGGTTGTGAGTGGCTTTATGAGAGCAGTGGGTGGGTATGTTGGGAGTCCAGCTTCCATCTGCTTTTTTGTCAGGTAAAATCCAGGATTCCAGATACCACATGCTTATGAAAAAAAAAATTTGGATGCGAGAGGGTTGCCTCTGTTTTGCAAAAAATGGTCAGCTCCCACCACACTCTTTGGGACTTTTTGACATCAGAAATAAGATGACAGGGATCAGTAGGCAGAATTTGGTACTGGATTATTGCCTGTGAAGTTGTAGCCTTGCTTCCAACCTTGGAGAAGGGATCCTACAAATCCTGTTCCTGAGGAGCTATAACATTATAGCAGTGTTTCTCAATCTCAGCAACTTTAAGATGTGAGGACTTCAACATCCAGAATTCTCACATCTGAAAGTTGCCACGGTCAAGAAACATTGCGTAGGAGGTTTAACTGTTGTAAGTCAATGCATTTTAGTCGTTTTGTTCTTAGCTGTAGTGATTATTGTTTTATATTGAGGTGGCTATAAAATAAAATAAGGTCACTACCAAACATAGCAGGAACAGAATGCTGTAGTTGTGTTTGTCGTCCTAAAGACATTTGGCAACCTTGCTGCAGATTATTTTGCTGCAGCCCTTTCGTTCTGATCCATTTCCACCGAACACAGTATGCCACAAAAGGATACAATATTTGTGCAGTACCGTCTGGAAACATAGTAAGGAACTTCACACCATTTTTGTAGTGCTGTTGTAAGAATTGTTTTTTCGTTAACTGTACATGAAAAAAGAAAAAGAACAACATGCAGACTCCAGTTTCTGTACAGAACTCAAAAGACCAAGATAACATACTGAAAGAGAACAATAAGGCTAGTATAAAAAGGGGGATAATTAGAATTCTAGTTTCATTTTTCCTTTCAGCCTCTTCTACCCCGCAAGTGGCTGCTAACTGGCCAAGGGGGCCATATTACACTACATGCTCTACTATGGCTACGGGTATGTTATTATATAGACAAACACATGCACCTGAGTGTGCCAGCAGCTAAATGACAAGCTTAAACCAAGAAAATGAGAGAGGAGGCAACTAAAAGATGCAGCCTTAAGCTAGAAATTCAATTTGCAATCTGACCTATTATTGTCTGCAATGTCTGTTAGACTCCCAAGCACGTAGTTTTTTGTGTGTCCCAAAAGCTACAATAGAAATTGGGAGGTGGGGGGAGAATGAGAGGGCCCTGTGTTACACATAAAGCTATTTTTTTCCCCACACTGTAGGCAGAATATTCTGAAATACAATTCCCCATTTGAAATGATTTGTTTTGGTTTCCCATGTTCAAAGATGAGATATAAGCTCAAGTCCATGAGGTGGGTTCACCACTGCTTCCAGGGCTGCTTGCACTCCTTAATTCCTGGGGACAGCCTGCTTTACAAGAATTGTTAAAGCACTGTAATTTTAATGTCATAAAAATAAATTATTAACTTATAGGGAAAGTATGTTTATTTCATGTTTAAAATTCAAATTAAATTAACTTTTTGTCATGGTCCTAGCCATTCCTTGGTCTTGATCCCACATGTATAGGCATGTGGCACAAAGCACACTGCTTTGAAAGTACAGCTCTAAAAATGTTGCATGGTGTTATAACGCAAAATGGTTTTATGCTGGAAATGTAAAATTCAAAAATTGGGTTCTAGTGTATAAAATCAACTGTTTACCTTTCCACCCGCAATAGTGAAATCACAGTAAGAGATGCTGTATGTGTTGTCTGGGGTCACTGACTTTGTTTCTTCAATTATTGGCTGACAAATTCGTGTCCAGCTTGCTGAAGAAGGTGTCTCTTGAGAAAGGTAGAAGGAAAGTGTCCTAAGCTGTTTATTGTCTATGGAACAAAATGTTAAATAAGAGTTAAATGATGATTAATTGACTTAAGAGTAACAAGCTAATTTCCTTTGTCAGATTTTTAGGGATCAATTGTCAACATTTAAGATTGTATCCAAGGCATTGTTACGGGAAAAAGTACGAGTGGCATTTTTCTTATATAGTGACACTGTTTTGCATAAGCTGTCGTGAGTCTGGATGGAGTTGGCAACATATACATTAAATCAACAACAAAGTAGTCTTCGGTAGTGAAAGTGCCTATACTACCACGCATGTGATAATTTTTGCCAGCAGAATCCAAACATTGAATCTGATAGCTTTACAATAGCAGATTCAGACTATTAGAGGAAACTATTTTTAATTTAATTGGATATTTACAGTGGGGCAAAAAAGTATTTAGTCAGCCACCAATTGTGCAAGTTCTCCCACTTAAAAAGATGAGAGAGGCCTGTAATTTTCATCATAGGTATACCTCAACTATGAGAGACAAAATGGGGGAAAAAATCC